GCCCAGCCATGTTATTGAAGCCGATACCCTGGCTTCCTTCAAGAATGTGATCTTCACTCTGTCATTTTCAAATCTCTAGTTGAGACCTTCGAATTGATTAGCCACAAACTACCCAACGTTTGTGGCCTCTCGTTTGTGACCGGTCTTGTGTCCTCTGTCCAGGAAGGCACCACTTGTCTAACAGGTGCAGCTCTCCTGCGCAGAATCAAAAGCGTCTGATGTCTGAGAAACAAGCAGTAGAATAGAGAGGTCTTGAAAAAACACAGTTTTCTGTTCCTAATTCTGCTTGATGATGCATTTTGGGGAGTCCGACGAGTAAACAAGCACACGGCCCAGCAGAGACGCAGCAACAGAAACAAGACAGGAAACTGTCAGTGCGAACCTGTTGTCAAGTTCTCCACCTCCCCCCAGCCCCCTCTCCTCCCGAGCCCAGTGTGACTATCACAGGCCTGAGAGAGTAAATTCTGTATAGAGAGCAGTTGAGCTCATGGAAACATCTGCGGTCGTCGTGCTGAACACCGCCCTGAAGCTCTGGTCCGGAGCCGAGCTCAGCCTGCGGTTGGGTTGCACCCAGGCTGCACAGAGCCCTTGATCTGCTCACAGTTCAGGGCTCGTTAGCCTTGATGAACACGAGCAACAGACACAAAGAACAAATGCTGTTTGGTTCCTTTGTTGACTGCCTATGAAACACTTGTACCAGCTTTTGTCTTCTGTGTGGTGTAAGTCTTTTTTTCATGACACCTCTATATGCAAACCTGTTCAGTAGCAGGGGACTCTGGTAATTGTCACTTATCAACCGACCAGATGGATAGATGTATCTTGCATTATCTCTTTATTATCTATGTAGATTCAAAGGACTTTACAAGGTAGCTGCCAAGCAGAAGTCTCCTGATGTGAAATCCATAGATACTTCAGCTCATAAGTAATTCTTACAGAGAAATATGTTCTTAGAAATTGCTGCATCACTCCTTCCAGTTTTCGGCAAACTCATTTGACTAGATTTTATTTTAGAGGAAGTTGTCTGGATGGTCCCCACTCATTAAATCAGCTGAACAAAAGAACTGGAGATAAAGGAAATGAAGATAAAAGAGAAAAATGTACTTCAACTAGTTCTTGACCAGTAGTCTTGATAAAAGACTTTTTTATGGGTTGTTATGCATTTATCAGTTTTGATTCCCAGTACTCAACCTGATTATGTTTTTCAGTCTGCTAAGTGCTCTTTGTGTATTTTGTGTACTTGACTGTCACACACGTCTCCCATGCTTGATCTCAGCATATGTCGTGGGCTGTGTGTTGTAGCCACCTCTCTTCTTGTGCTTCGTGTTTTGTCTGCTGATCTCTATAGTGGCGTACTGCAGTC